CCTAAGTATTCAGACACTTTATCCAGATGCCTTAGGCCACCTACTGTGCTTATAACTGGCACTACCATAAGGCCTCCCTATATTTCAAATGGTTCTTCACTTAATTAGTCTCATAATGTCAGTAACATTCTTACCAGGGAATTTTCCCCACCACTGCCACATAAGGCCACATCACTCCTCCTGGAATCTTTTACATCTGCCCCATTTCGACAGGGAAAAATAGCCACCATTGACTTTTAGTGCCTTTGATAGTTTTTTTTTTTTTTTTCAGTTCTTACCTATTTCCCCCTCAGCAGCATTTGATAGAGCTAACCACTTCTCCTTCCAGAAACACACTTCCCTTGCACTTCCTCTCACTCCAGTCTGTGCTTATCTTTCTGGCTACTCCTTTTCAGTCACCTTTGCTAGAGCATCCTCCTCTACCCATCCGTTAGTAGAGGAGGATGCTCTCTTACCTCCTCTTACCGTCAGCTCTCTTCTCTTCTCTTCTTACACCACCTCTCCAGGTCTACCCTTCAACTCTACAATATAAATTACCATAGACATCATGGCAGCTACCATATTTTTATGCCTAAACAAGACTTCACTTAGAAGCTCCAAAATCTTCCTGCTGTTTGTTCTTAGATGTTCACAGGCCCTTCAAATGCAACAAGTTCAAAACTGAATTCATGACACCCTCAGATAATATAGTTATCTTCTTTAAAAACAGACACCTGATTATATTATCCCCATGTCTAAAATATTTATGTAGTTTATATTCTCCCTGAAAGTACTCTAGCCTCATTGTGATGCCAATCTCAATTTTGTTCTACACACTTCAACATGCATGTCTTGTTTTCTTTTTTTCAACTTTAAACAAAGCTTGGCATGTCTTGTTTTCAGTCTTTGAAGGGGCCTTGCCTGGAGCCTCCCAACGTGCTCTTTCTTCTACGCAGAACACTCCCTTCCGTCATTTGCCAAACTTCCCTCCACTGTGCTCACTCCTACCTATCTGTCCAATCTCAGGCTCCCCAGCACCTCCACGGGAGAAACTTCCTAAACCACCCGCTCCCGCAGTGCACTCCCGTTCCCAGCACTCAGCCCATTAGTAGTCTGCAGCAGCAGCACTTCCCAATTAGGTCACATATTTTACAAGGACAGGGACTGCATCTCTTTTTCTTCCTTCAGTATTCCTGAACCTAACAAGGACAGACACTAATTAAATATATAAGCAATAAGATATGGCCTGTAATTACTAAAAATTTGTATCGTCTTCAAAATCATCCTTTCTTCTGTCAAACTTTTCCTGGCTTTACAGTTTATAGTTTTAGGAGTTCCAGTGCAGCAAGATTTGCTTACATTTTAGCTTGCTGTCGTTGGTCAGAGAAGAAACGCCTTCAGACCTTTTATCTATTTGTTAGAATCATAAAAAGGCAAAGACTAAGGAGAACTGGGAAGTATCAGAGGAAGGGTCAGGTGCTCTGTTGGCGCTACTCTGTGAAAAGCACCATCTGAAATTGAAAGAATCTGTCGTCAGCAGATCACCTCACCTTTCCCTACCACCATATCCATCTCCTACCACCATCTCAACCTCCCACCTTTTTCAATTTACCTACCTCTTCACTCTCTCACTACAA